AACGGAGGACGGGTTGTAGTTTCACAACATGCGGAGCAAGAGAGAGATCCGGATGTGTAAGCAAGGTTGCGGAAAGTGAAAGCAACCACGTGCTGACCAAAGAGATGTCCTTGGTTTGCTAAAACAATGAGATACACAAGAGAAAGGGAACATGTGGAATGGGATTTGGCCGGTCACTACAGAGCTCCGCCCTAAAAAGCCAGGGAGAGCCTTCGATAAGGGTGTATACATTGTTTTGCTGTGGTTTGCAAGTCCAAAAAATAGGAACGTTCGGTGTGCACATCAACCAGTTTGCACTTGAGTGATGCGTAACGGAAACCGATACGAATCCCGAAATAAAACACGGTTGATCCGTAATGTTCTACAGTACTGAATTTGAAAAATCGTTACAAAATGTACAATAAAGCAAACCTCAAACATGCGGTTAAAGGCACTAAAGCAAGCAAGCAAGCCAAATATGATGTCCAGAGAGAGCCAAACAGTCGCTCACGTTCTCTGACCACGCAAAATTCAGATATGCCGAGCATCGAATTAACAGATAACGAATAATGTATGATTTTTGTGGTTGAGAAACGTCAATAGAGAAGCAACACACAGATAGAGTTATGTCACCCTGAACCATCATGGGGTTGGAAGGCTTTTCAAAAATCAACGTGAAATATATGGTGCTTTCACGGAAATATTGATAATCAGCTGTCGAATTAGTTCCTGGTGATGTGGCAGGGGTTGCTGGCCTACAAAATAAATGTGGGGAAATGAAAATGTCAAGGAATAGCGTCTGCAGTTCTGTCGTCGTTTCGCTACTTTCAACGTTTTGGTTTGTCTTTAGAGAACATAGGAGGACCGTTGCAACTGAGCACGAGCCAGTAAAAGACTGACGGAGCTGTCAGAAATTGTTTTTGATACCCAATTTATACTGGAGCGGTAGGAAGATCGGGGATGTGCTAATCCTCATTCTTGCTGCGTTCTCCTGGTCGACGTTTTTTAACGGGTTTTGGGGTCTCTGTGTTTTTTGGCCGAAGTTCTTCCGAGTTTGGAAGGCAAAGCCTGGAAGAGAACGGGAGAAGGAAGGTCAAAACAGCCCCTGTTGTAGCTGATTGATGAGATGAAGACAAAGACAATAACAAAGGGCAAGGTTTTTTGTACGGTTTTTAATGTGTAAATATGCATATAGAAAAGCGTTAATCATGGGGGAAAAAATAAAAGCAATGAAGAAAGATCTTTTTGGGGCGGGTTGCATGCATATATGGATAAACAGATGAAAGAAAACAATATTTATATCGCAAACTAAGTGATTCTGCACGCTGCTAAGTGCAAAAGCGTGCTGCAAAGCAAAACCTTCAAGTAACCTGAGGACTGTCCCGCGACTAGTGATCTGATGGGGTGGTTCGGAATCAGGTGCCTGCTCCAAGGATGTCGCGGGGATTACCGGGGTGGAGAGAGCAGGACTTGTTGGGACGGGAGTTGCGAGCGACGCAACGGGTAAGGTGCCATCAGTGGAAGTGACGTTTGTCTCCAAGTGCGTAGGTTTGAGTCGGTCAATACTAGAGACCTCACGTTTAACGTTGCGCTCTATGAAGTAGGCTTTCTCTAAGCGTCGCAGTACCAAATGTGGGCCGCTTTATTGAGGCTGCAGTGGTGCGCGAACTTCTGCTCTGAGGAAAACGTACCAGGTTTCGGCTAATCTAGGGGGAGGTAGTCCAGGGGTGTTTGCTGTCGAGGTGGTTGAATATGCAACTGGCGCATACGATATACCAAACGATCTGCATATTCACCGTAGTTAAAGTCAGTTGGTGAGGTCTGTGTCACCATTTCTTCTGGAAGATGCAATGTGCGACCAAAAATCAACTCTGCCGGTGTGGACTGGAGACCAGCTTTGATCTGCAACCTAAGAAGAGTAATAATAATAATGTATATTTCACGAAACCCGTGAGGCATGCACAAGGCATGATCATGTGTTCAAAATAATCATATGTACATCGTCAGTACAGGTAGATAGATAAAATACTTGGGAGACGTACATACTGGAGATGGTAGAGGAGCAGAACGAAAACGCGGTGTAAACAGGACACAAAGCGGACGAGGTCACAAACGTTGGTGTAAGGGTAGAGACTACTTCCAGTCTGGGTTCGCCTGTGTTGCCATAGCATTTTCAGTTGTCGATGGAAACGCTCGACCGTCATTTTAACTGCCGGATGGTAAGCGGTCTTCTGGAGGCGGCGAATGCCTAAATGCCCAAGTAGTTGTGCTGAAACACCCTCGAAANACTACTGCAGGACAGCCGATACTAACTATCCAACCCTCTACGGAGGCTTGTGCCGCTGCTTCGTTGGATGCGGAAGACAAAGACACAGCTAACGGTCACCGTGTCAAACGATCTATACAGGTGATTATATAGATACACCTTTTCGATGGTGGCAGGGGTCCCACTAAGCCTACGTGGACGTGGTGGAACCGTTCGTCGACAACGGGGTTGAATCTAGTGCGCTCCTTTTTGGCAAATAATTTTCTTTCGTTGGCAAGACAAGCACTGTTGTGCCCATTGGTGGCTGTCCTTTTTGATTTTATGTCACACAAAATGATCAGTGATGAGTTTCACTGAGGTGTGGATGCCTGGGTGTTATAAATTATGCAGTGTCTCAAAAACCTTTTTGCGTAAGGTTGTTGGGACTACCGGTCTAGGGTGATCTAGGGAGACGTCGCAATAGACTTGTCTGAGGACAGAAGTGGTAAATTTTCGATGCGCAGCGTGGAATGCTTGCACAGTCGCGCAATATCACTGTCGCGGGTTTGCGCGGTGTCTATGTCCTGTAAGTCAGTGGCTTCTGAGTGAGGTTTACCCAGACGGTGGATGCGTGAAAGGGCATTCGCGACAGGGTTGTTGACACTAGAGATATGTCGTACATGTAGTGACCATGATTGTACGAATGAAAGGAGCAATCCACGAGGACGTTTTCCGT